GCACACTTTGATAAAAAAAAAGATCTTACTTTTATTGGAAGTGTGATAAAAAAAATTAGATTGATATTTTAATCACACTTAATTTGATTAAGTGTGATAATATTTATTTTTTATGTCACTTTTCAATTAAGTGTGATTATATATATATATTTTTAATCACACATTCTAATTAAAGTGTGATTATATACTTTTTAATCACACTTTTTAAACAAGTGTGATTATATATATATTTTTTCATCACACATGTAATTAAAGTGTGATTATTTATATATTTTTTAATCACACATTCTAATTGAAGTGTGATTATATATACACTACTACTTTTTAATCACACTTTTTAAACAAGTGTGATTATATATATATTTTTTAATCACACATTTTAATTAAAATGTGATTATATATACACTACTACTTTTTAATCACACTTTTTAAATAAGTGTAATTATATAAAATATTTCAATTTGATTTTTATATAAAATATACAATTCCCAATTTTTAATCACACTTAACTGTTGAGTGTGATAATATTTATTTTTATGTCACTTTCTAATTAAGTGCGTATATATATATATATATAGGGTAAATTACACTGACACCCCTAAGGTTTATGTTTATTACAGTTCCCCTTCACGTTTTGGAAATTACATCTCCCTCCCTGAGGTTTAAAGTTTCAATACAGATTCCCCCCTTAGCAATTTAATTTTTTTAAATGCTAATTTTGCCCTTACTGGGTAAATTATATTGACACCCCTTACATTTTAGAAATTACAATCCCTTCCTAAGGTTAAAGTAGCATTACCAATTGTCCCGTCGGTTAGTATTAGTTGGAAAAAAAATTTCTTGAAAAAAATAATTGGAAAAAAATTAATTGAAAAAAAAATGTTAGTAAAATTTTAAATTTCTGTTTAAAAACCAACATAAACTTATTTTTTGAATTTACGTTTTTTCCTCAATTTACAAAACTGAGACAACCATTTATAGATTAAAAAAATTATCAAATAAATTTTTATGACAAATTTTAAAATTTTTGTAAATATAAAATTGGAAACTGAAAACGAAATGGTTACCAAACAGGCTTCAGATGGTAAAAATGTCATAAAATTAACAAATAATTAAATAAGTTACCAACATAAGAAATGACTTATCAAAAGATTCTTAGGCTATGTATGGTTTGATTTTAGAAAAAAAATTAAAAATTAATTTGGTTAAGAAATAAAAAATAAAAATAATTATCATTTTATATAAATTTTTATCTTTCGAGTGGTTAGAATAATTTTTTTACAAATTAAAATTGAAAACAGCCATACGTATGTATATAACCTGCTCAAAAATTAAAATTAAAATTATTTTTTACCCTTAAATAATAATTATTTTTTAGTTTTTATTTCTTAACCAAATTAATTTTTAATTTTAAAATTTTTTTTCTAAAAATCAAACCATATATGGCCTAAGAATCTTTTGATAAGTCATTTCTTACGTTGGTAAACTTATTTAATTATTTGTTAATTTTACAATATTTTTACCATCTAAAGCTCTAAGGTGCCATTTGGTAACACTTACGTTTTCAGTTTTCTGTTTATATTTACAAAAATTTAAAAAACTCAAATTAAAAACTTGTTTGGTAAATTTTTTATTATAAATCAGTGGTCTCAGTTTATAAATTTGGCCAAAAGATGTAAACTCAAAAAATGTGTTTCCGTTTTGAGTTTTGGTATTTTAGTTTTTTTTTTTTTTACCACCCAACATAGCCACCACCGCGCTACCATTTCCACCACCGTCTTCCGCCACCACCACCCACCACGCATCCCCCACCACCACCTGCACCCACCACTCACCACCCGCCACCAACACCCACTGCCACCCACTCGCCACCACCACCCACCTGCCATCTACCCGCCACTACCATCCACGCCCGCCACCTACCGCTACCACCACTCAGCACCCATCTATCACTACCATCCACCACCAGCCACCCACCACTACCACCCACCAACCACCTACCACCCACCCGCCAACACCACCGACCACCACCACCACACCCACTCGCTACCACCTTCACCCACCCACACCCACCACCACCCGCCACTAACCCACCACACCCCACCCACCTGCCACAACTACCCACCACTCGTCATTACTATCCACCACCCGTTACACCATCACCACCACACCACTCGCTACCACTCACCACCCGCCACCATCACCCACCCACTCACCACCATCACAACCCGCCACCTGCTGCACCACCACCACCCGCCACCACCCGCCACTACCTGTCACACCACCGACCACCCGCCACCACCCACACACCACCACCCACCCACTCGCTACACCCCACCGTCATCCACCCACCCATCCACCAACCACCACCCACCCCACCCACCTACCACACCGCCGCCACCACCTACCACTACCCGCCATTCCGCCACCACTGCCCATCGCCCACCACCGCCGCCACCACCACCACCACTACCCACTCGCTACACCCACCACTCGTCACCATCACCCACCCACCCATCACTCCACACCCACCACCACCCGCTACCCACCACCTACCGTCACCACTTTCCACTACCATCTTCCGCCACCACTTGCCATTTCTCACTCTTTTTTATATTTTTAAATTTTGTTAAACATTTTGTCAATTACCAAACGCGTTTGTAATTTATGTTTTTCTAAAAATAAACAAAAACAGTTTATAAATTTTTGTAAATATAAACTGAAAACGTAAACGTTACCAAACAGACCATAACCATTTCATTTTCAGTTTTCAATTTATATTACAAAAATTTAAAAACTATCATAAAAACTGTTTTGATAATTTTTTTTTGATTTATAAATGATTGTCTCAGTTTGTAAATTTGAGAAAAAATGTAAATTCAAAAAATAAGTTTACGTTGGTTTTTAAATAGAAATTTAAAAATTTTACTAGCAAAATTTTTTTCAATTAATTTTTTTTTCAATTAATTTTTTTTCAATTATTTTTTTTTCCAATTAATTTTTTTTGGTAAATTACACTAACACCCATTGAGATTTATGTTTATTACAGTTCCCTCACATTTTGGAAATTACATTTCCCCCTAAGTTTAAAGTTTCATTACAGATTTTTCCCTTTAGCAATTTAATTTTTAAATACTAATTTTGTCCCAGTGGGTAAATTACATTACCACCCCTCACATTTTAGAAATTACAATCCCCTCCCTAAGGTTTAAAGTAGCATTACCAATTGCCCCCTTGTTAGTATCAGTTAGGCAAGAAGGCTAATTGTAAAAAAAAAAAGACATTTAAAAATCGCAATTCACATATATAAATAATTGTAAACACAATCCGTACATAGCACGGGTGATATGTTAGTACTATATATTAAGCAAAATGGGGTTTTTAAATTCCAAGGCCTGTGGGAGTTTCAATATCCCAATCTGAATTTTTAAAATTTTTTATTTAAAAAAAAACTCAGTATTTATTAATTTGGTCAAAATTCCCTGATCAGCATTTATTAACTTTTTTCATTCCACATATCTTTTCACATGCCTGCATTTATTGATTTGGTCAAAAACTCCTGATCAGCATTTAAAATCACCTCATACAAATAATTATAGATACAATTCGTGTATAATTATTACAGTACCCTTTTCAACTTCTCCTATACACTATGGTTAGTGATAAATTGTTAAATTATTTTTATAAAAAGTCTTAAAAAACATAATTTATATATTAAAAAAATTCTAAAACAAATACAAATATCTAAAATTATCCCGTGCATAGCACGGGTGATTGGCTATTTACTCTATTAACACTAATTCACGTGCATTCCCATCTCTTTTCTCCTCCTACTCTCTCTCTCTCTCTCTCTCTCTCTCTCTCTCTCTGTGTTTCTCCATCCGCGTGGTGATCCATGGCGATTCATAGTCCTCTGTATCTCCTTCCTTCTTCTCTCTCTCCTCCTCCTCCCAAACCCTTCAACTTCTCCCCCACCAACACCACCACTCACAATACCACTGTTGGCCTCTTCTCGTCCACTCGATTTAGGCCCCAAACGAGGCCAATATCATTCTGTACGCACTTGATGAATTCCAATTTCTCTGCCGCCGTGGTCTTCGGAGAGGACTTCCCGGCTGACTACACCGAATGGCTTCCCAAACGTAACCCCTACGACCACCGTCGAGCCGGCGTTCTCCTCCATCCGACGTCTTTTCCTGGCCCTTACGGCATTGGTGACCTCGGGGACCAGGCCTTTCGCTTCCTCGATTGGCTTAACCATTCTGGTTGCTCCCTCTGGCAGGTCCAATGGTTCTTCACATCCTCCTCCTCCTCCTCAATCTGCTGATGCCTTAATTTATTACATTGTCCTTTTTTTTTTAAAAATTCTATTTGTAAATTGTTAATTATGTGTCCAAAATACTTTCTTTTACGTTTTCTTTATTAATTGCTACTCTACTTTGTGGGGCTTATTACTTTGTACTGAAAAGTAGCATTACCAATTGCCCCCTAAGATGAAAAGATCCCTGTTTGGCATTCATTAGAGCAGAACCCAAATACACTCAAATTCATATATATATAGAGAGAGAGAGAGAGGGAGAGAGAGAGTTTGTTGCTAGAACATTAGAAGAAAAGGAAAAAAAAGAGAAAAAATAGTGTTATAGTTCATATTTAGATGAACTGATCTCATACTAGAACCTATTCCAATTTCAGTTGACATCAATATCTGTTGTTGTTTTTCTTTTTCTTTTCTTTAAAGGAAATTAGCTTTGTGTTTGGTCACATTGGTGCAATATATTCCTGAACAGGTGAATATATGGGTTCAGAGATTGAAATTGTTGATAGAATTGTATACAAAAATAAGAATCAGCACCGACGATGCTCATATTTTCAGTACCTTCTAAAGGTTGTTATTCCCTATGAGCAAATATGTGCAAATAGGTACATAAATATATGTAATGCATGTAATTGTCTTTTTAATCTTAGTTTATCATATTCATGTGATGTTAGGTGAGGAGAGATTTGACGCTTCTGCAATCAGCTCACATAGAAGAGATTGTTAGCTCGTCCTTTCAAGTTATCCATGGGACAAAACCTAAGCAAAAGGTGCAGCTTTTAGAAAGGTAAATTTAACTTAATTCCCCATCTATAATGTTTTAATCATATCATTAATTGGACTAATGGTGGTGATGATGGTGGTGATGAGCAGCACTGCAAAAGCAATGGAACACAAGAAATTGAGGGTGTGTTGATTCAGCCATGGAATTGATGAATGAAGTGGTGATGAGCATCCTATTTCCAGCTGCTTTATTCTTAATTTTTTCAATTGTGAATATATGGTTTGCTCCTATTTCCAGCACTGCAAAAGAAGTTAGTTTTTTTTTTTTTTTTAGATTGGAAAGAAGGTAGTGGAAGTATAAGAATATTTTAATAGAAGATAGCTAAAGTAGATAGCCTTGTTGGAGTGTATATTAAAAAAATGACTAGCTAAAATAGTAAAGTGAAGTTTTAAATAGCTATTTTAACTAGCCTTGCTGGAGATGCTGTAAGTAGCTATATGTGAGCTGAATTATCACTACCAAGAAAAGGAAAAAGAAAAAAGAACTGAATTATCATGAAACTATTTAATCATTGATGGAAACTTTCAGTGAAACAATCGGACATTTTAGTGAAATTTTAGTTATGTTTGTGAATCATAGGTCACTATTGTTACTTTCAGTGTTGCAGTGATGACAAGAACTTACCCTGAGGACTCTAGGGAACGGAAGGAGCTCATTCTTCTCCAAAACATAGCAAGCTACATGCTTCTTGCTTGTGGTGCCGTTTATCTTATCTCGGTATGTCAATTATTTCAATATGAATCTATGATATAGAAACTTGCCCTGCCATTAACATGGTTCAGTTGTCACTCATTTGCTGAACTGAAGTTGGCTTTTTCATGGAATAAAACAGAGTTTAAATAAAGTGTTGGTTTGAAAAATTGAATAACAACTTTTCTATTGTTTCAAAAGTCCTATTCCAACGCTGTACTTAAGAAAGAAGTTCCCAACATTTTTCCTTTTCACTCAATTCTCGTGATCTTTGTGATTTCCTGTTTTGCTCGTATCATGAATGATATTGAACTGATGAAGAATTTTTCGTTTGGGTTGGCTAAGCATACTGTCAGAATTTTTTGTAATTGTATAAATTTACAGGCAATTTCCAACAACGAAAAAATAATTGAAAATGAAATAAAAAATTGCCATTTTTAGACATGGGTATTTTGTAATAAGTGATGTTGCTGCTTGGATTTTGTACAAGGTACCTGAAAAGGTTGTGTCAAAGCCTTGCTCACATGGTGTTTGATTTTTGTTCTTTCTAAGATTTTTGACAAGCTTTATGTGATTTAAGCTGCTAGTAATTTGGAATTTATTTTCTGAATTTCATATGCTAGGCAATCAACATATTTATTTACATGGTATTTTCTTAATTATGTCTATTAGATTGAAGAAGATAGTCACTGAATTCCTTTAGCAAGTGGGTTTTCAAGGATTTTGCTTGTAGTGTTGTAAATGGGAAAACACTTGTGGACCGAAGATGCTGATGAGCAAATTGCGAATAATCAGCCGGGCTGCGTGCGGGGTGTCCTTCATGCTCTTGACTATCATCACTGGCATTACAATGTTAAGAAGCTGCTACCCCACAAGAAGCATAATGGACCAAGACATGTGAAAGGTAAGCAATATGAATTTGCACCGTGCTTTCTTCTTCTTGGTGATTATGGATGACATACAGGGTTAGAAGTCCAGACTTGGTGCTCTATTTATTATTTTGGTCTTTGTAAAACCTTTGAGTGTACACACAATGCTTGTGCAAAGATACATAGTTTATGAACGAAGATGATGAATAGAGTCTTAAATTCGAAGATGATGAATAGAGTTTTAAATTTCTGAATCAGTTTCACATGACAATTTTTAATTGTTTTATTGTTAGGAGACATGAATCAAGAAAACGAAATAGAGATCAAAAACACCAAAACCCATTTGAGATTGGTTTTGTTTTATTGTTAGGAGACATGAATCAAGAAAACGAAATAGAGATCAAAAACACCAAAACCCATTTGAGATTGGTTTTGTTTTATTGTTAGGAGACATGAATCAAGAAAACGAAATAGAGATCAAAAACACCAAAACCCATTTGAGATTGGTTTTGTTTTATTGTTAGGAGACATGAATCAAGAAAACGAAATAGAGATCAAAAACACCAAAACCCATTTGAGATTGGTTTTGTTTTATTGTTAGGAGACATGAATCAAGAAAACGAAATAGAGATCAAAAACACCAAAACCCATTTGAGATTGGTTTTGTTTTATTACCCACTTGAGAAAACAGGGATGATAAATTGAAACAGCGATCTATGATGTTAAAAAAAATAAAAACAGAGCGCGATGTTCCACAACATCAGAATTCTCTTTATTTTTTAGAATAATGCCGGAAGATTTGAAGAATAGGAAGTACAATTTGAGTTTTTAGGGCTTGTGTGGTTGCACAAATTGAATTATGGGCGAATTACACCAACGGTCCCTGTAGTTTGGAGTTTGTGTTACTTTAGTCACTGACTTTTCAATTGTGATACATTTGATCCTGAATTTTGAATCTCGTTTCAAATAAGGACAATTGAAGATATTGTTGCTCAATTTCAAGAGTAAAATCGTCAATTTAATAAAATATAACTAGTTTGACAAACAAACATAAATGTCAACAAATTATTTTTAAAATTTTAAAAATTATTTCTACTCACCAAAGATAAAATTATACAAAAATGCCAAATTTTTTACATTTTTATTTTTATTTTTTTACCAAATTAATTTTTAGTATGTGTTTGGATGATCATATAATGGGCGGTTGTTTTTGTTGATATTTTTAGATGATTATCATATAATAGATGATTGTATTTATTATTAAAAGATTTTTTTGATGGTTATCATGAAATGGATGGCTATTAGGCCTTTAATGTATAATCGATATGTTTAATATATGAAATGCTTTTAGTTTTGAATTTTTTTATTGATTTAATGGATTAGTTTAATAATGACATCAAAGTTGTTGTCATATTTGACTTTTGAAAAAATAAAAACTAATTTAACGAAAATAAATATAAAAAAATTATTTAAAAAATTTATTTCTACCCTCCCAAAAGATAAAATTATGTAAAAATGATATGTTTTTAATTTTTTTTAACCAAATTAATTTTTAGTTTAATAGAATTTTTTTTTGAAAATAGATTCTGAAAACTAAACTAAACAGAATTTTATAACCAAAAAAGTTCCCACATTATTCGTTATAGCGACCCCGGTCTTTTCCCATTTGATTATTGTATCCGGACTTGGGTTCCGTTTATTCTGTCATTGTATAATTGTTGTTGTCGTTCTTTATTTTCTCATTTGGAGTTATAGGATGTGTTGGGCAGGTTTGTTTCAAGATGGTTGGGCTCGTGAACCAAGTGTTGCTGTCCAGTTTTTGGGTTGGTCGCTCGAGCTAGGATTTGGTCGCTCGAGCGAGGTTTGTTTTTGTGTCCTTTGGCTCGATCCAGATTTTCTTCGCTCGAGCGAGCGACTGCGTCTGGTATAGACCTGAGGGCAGTGCTTATTCGCTCGAGCGAGAGTTTCTTCGCTCGAGCGAGGTGTATGTTTTCGAGTTCCTTGCTCGAGCGGGCATTCTATCGCTCGAGCGTGCTCCAGGGTTGCAGACCTGAAGCATTGCATTCTTGGCTCGAGCGAGCTTTTCTTCGTTCGAGCGAGATTTTCGTGTGTCTGGTCGCTCGAGCGACCAAGTCTTCGCTCGAGTTTTCTTCGCTCGAGCGAGGTTTTCGTGTGTCTGGTCGCTCGAGCGACCAAGTCTTCGCTCGAGCGAGCCTGTCAGGTTTAAATAGGCAGCAGCGTGTTTCAGATCAGTTTTTCATACACTTTCAGATTCCAAAACCCTAGTTACGAGTTCTCTCTCCCTCTACACACCTTCTCTCTTAGGATTGATCTACTTAGAGTGAGTTTCTACCTTAGATCCTTTATTAAAAAGATAGAGTGAGTCGAAGGCTTCCATTTAATCTGAACATTTAGTGATTTGGAGCACATTGGAATTTGGGTATTTATCTCTGTCTTCTCCATTCGGGTTATTTTCTTCGAGGTAGGGATTTCCTACACCATCTTATAAGTTTTGTTCTAAGTTCTAGTATTTTGATATGTTGGGGGTACTTTGGTAATTTTGGGAAAAACCCTAGTTGTATTAATAAATTAATTTGTATAATTATAGCGATCCCGGGTTTACCCTTGTTGTACAGTGATCCGGACATGTGTCCGTGGATGTTGGTAGTTGTTTATTATCTTGTTTGCATCCTCTTTACTTTGTATATTGAGTTATAGGATGTGTTGGGCAGGTTTGTTACAGGTTGGTTGTGTTTGGGAGCCTAGTGCTGCTGCCCAGATTTTTGGACCTTCGCTCGAGCGAGGAGTTGGTCGCTCGAGCGAGAGTTGAGTTCGTGTCTGGTGGATCGAGCCAGAGTGGCTTCGCTCGAGCGAGCGATTGCGTCTGGTTCTGGACCTGAGAGTTGCATTTCTTGGCTCAAGCGAGCTTTCTTCGCTCGAGCGGTCTGGTTTGTTCTTCGCTCGAGCGAGAAGTCTGTCGCTCGAGCGTGCTTCTGGTTGCAGACCTGAGGGTTTGAGTTGTTAGCTCGAGCGAGCATTCTTTCGCTCGAGCGCACTTCTGAGTTTTGGCTCGAGCGAGAACTTCTTGGCTTAAGCGAGAGTTTTCTGTGTCTGGTCGCTCGAGCGACAAGGTCTTCGCTCGAGCGAGCGTGTTTTATATCAGCGGACAGTAGCGTTTTTGAACATCAGTTTTTCACTTTCTTTTTCTTTCAAACCCTAGATCCGAGACTCTCTCTCTCTAAACTTATATTCTCTCTAAGAATTGATCTCCCTAGAGTGTAAATCTAGCCTAGGGCCTTTGTTAAAAAGATAGAGGACGTTGAGAGCTTTGATTTAATCTAAAAAAGTTTGGATTTGGA